CCCCATCTTCGTAGTTGTGGGCGGCCAATCGTTCTTGCGGCTTCGTTTATTGATGATCTTGGTGTCGTTTTGAAGGAAAGAACGAAACCTTTCAAACTTCATGACCCGATTCAAAAGAGTAAGCCTAAAGGAATAAGTCGGTAAAGCGCAACAGCCAAACATTTTCTGATTTTTGTTTGGTGAAAAAACAGCTCCAAGCCACACGAACACACACGGAGCGAGAAACAGGCCAGAAGTACGAATATTATGGACAAATGTGTGTACCACCCATCATTCCCTAGCTCGCTGAAGCGCCGTGCTTTGCAGCTCCCATAAACACAAGCACCAGAGTTTCCTCCATTGTATATTAGGAAACTATGGGTGTTAGTATTCTCGGTGGTGTTCTGTTTTCGAACCTGCTGCGTGAGCCAGCTGGTCTGCGCCGAACAAGCACGTTTAGGATAAAAGCTACCGGGCGCCACATTCCGAAGTCTCGGCAAGTCGAGTTGCTAGCGTGATCTTGATGCAGAAAATCACGGGTCGGGCCGTCAATACACTGTAAACAAAAATATACCCTGCCGGGAGGAATCGGGGAAGGATGCGCCAGCTCTGCTCCAGTTGCCTCATTCAAACCGGATTGTACCGCAGCAAATACATTCGTTTTCCACCGTTTTCCTCCGGTGACCACCGGACGAAGGCAACCTGAGGAAAACGGGGCCACTCCCCTAAACATGCTCTCGTGGTTCCTCCGGAAATGCTTCCGGGCATCATGTTTGCCTTTGTGGATGCTCCACGAATGCTCCGGGTCATCGCTCACTGGCATTCATTGGCTGTTCGAGGAGTTACGTAGGCAGCCTCGCTGCCGGGAGGCCGTTCCCCACAAACCAACATGGCGCATACTAAGCCGGTTTAGTGAGAATTGTGCGAAACGTTCGGCCGCGTTGGAGAAAAGGAAATCGTTCTGAGCACCCTCTGGATATCACAAGCGACAAGCCGCAACGAAGGTTATCAACGACAGAAGGCAGTTGTGCGAACGGTAATCGTGTGCGATTCCTGGCAGCGAACGACGCATTATGATATTGCGAGTGTTGAGGGACCCGGCGGTCGCTGGTGTGGCGAAAAATTGGTGAGTGAGCTCTCTTTTAATTACCTGTGTTATTATTGTCAGGTAGTGCTAAGATTCGATAATGTCGGGTTAATAAACGAAACACGGGATCAATGTTTGGCTAATTTCACAAGACGTCAGTGAAAAACCAGCGGAATTCCGATAATGCCGATAGTTATAGCGCGAGAACAAAACGACGACACAGAGACAAGAAGGACACGAAAGATTGTCTCTGTGTCGTCGTTTTGTTCTCGCGCTATAACTATCGTCATGCCATACCAACTAGCCCAAGCTGCCACACTTCCGATAATGCGTTGTTTTGACTAGGTTTTTTTTTCTTAACATAAAGCAAAACGGTGAGGTGAGCGAGTCGGTACTGATTCATTATGGCGTAAATGTAGCGCAAAAAAAGTGAACACCACAAGCGCTTGTGGTTCTTCACTTTCTTGTACTTGCCCTTTATTTCGCAGCAATATAGCGATAATAACTTCGGTAAATTTAAGTCGCTGTAATACTTGGAGCACTTACATATGCAACAATAGAAAATATAGCTTTAGGTTGATGGTATGAAATGTTAGTAATTGGTAAAGGTAAACCTAACTGGTTAAAAGATATTTTTGGTTTTGTCAGTACACATAAACGGTAACATTTGTCCACGTTCCATATCAATAAAAACACTAATGAAACTTGAATAACTAAAATCAGTGCCAATTTTTTATAAATGTAGTGAATTGAGTTAAGGTAATGTAAATGGTACAGACGTTTAGAACGCGTACACGCACTCGTACTTGTGAAATAGTTATTTTGGTTGGATAAATGATATCCGAGATATTAATCTAGAAGTATACTAGACTCTTTGCGGGACGTGGGGCTTTCAGGAAAAGAGAGGGGCAAACAAACGGATGAAACTAGAAACGAGGAATGTAAAAAGAAAAAAGAGGAGTTGCTTGGCAGAACGAGTCGTGCAGCACTAGACGTTTCTGTAAAAAGGGGAAGGGCGTAGTAAAGTTAACCCATATGGCAGCCCGGCTCAGCGTTCTAAGAGGGGGGGGGGGAGCATTTTAGTGAAAGAAAGAGAGAAATGAGAAGGCACCTTTTCGAAAAACTAGCGGTGTTTTCTGTGTTGATGAAGGGAGAGATCATTCTTGCTGCTGCATTTTTTTTAATCTGTCTTCAATCGAGCCACCATGACTGCGGCTGCAGTTTTTTTTTTTTTGAAGACGACGGGAGTGTGAACAGTGCTAAGACGTAGTTTTGATACGGAAATGCAACAACACTGCCTTGGGAACAGAATAGGGAAAAAGAAAATTTCTTCAAGCCAGGGTGCACCTGCATCACCTTCTCTGGCCTCCGAACGAACCTTTCCGTTGAGTAGACTGGTCCGCCTTCTCTTATTTCTGTGAAAATGTAGTTGGCTAACGTGGCGTATTGTTTCTGCCGTTTATTACTTATTTATTTCGCCACGTTGTAGTGGACTTTATTTTTTGCTTGAAGCTGTTCGTCTTGAAGAAATACATGCTCATATAATAACTACTTTGAAAAATGTTCACAACGACAAGTGCCAAAACAGAGCGGCAGTGCAAATTACAAAAATAAAAAAATGCCAACTTGTCTAGAAAACTGTTTTACAAAGGTGATGAAGCTAGGCTTACCTTAAAGACAAGCCGCAACCATGCAAACTGCAAGGGTCCACTTTGCAAGTAGTATGACAACGACCACGCACTAAAATGTGACAGTAATAATGAGAATCATTATATAATAAACATAGGAGACTATCGGGAGAGGCATTCGTGATGCCGTTTACAAGAGTAACGATATCAGATTATTTTAGTCAAAAGATTGCTTTTATATTTACGCTCTCCCATAGCAGAGTACTTAGTACTCTGAATCGTCAACCAATTTTTCTAAGCCTAAATGTTTCAGCAAAGGTAGAGCTATCGATTGAGAAATAAATAGAAAACTTCGGCCAGTTTTGAACTTTGTTGGCGCCAGAGAGGTGTGTTTTTATCATGTTGCGGCTGTCTCACACCGGATTACATCAGATGTGCTTTTTGATATTGAATGCTCATCCTGTCTTTGTGTGTCGTCTGTGTCTGTGTGTGCGCGCCTGTGTGAACACTTTCAGAAGTTGCTTCTCATAGACTCGCAGACTGTACAGTGTCTATGGCTTGAGTGTTCTCAGTTTCGTGCCTCTCGCATGGTTTGCGGTTCTCATGTATAATTTTTTGCTAAATTATGCAGGAAGCAATCAGCTCAACTCTTGCGTCATCAATTAATCTGATGAATGGTTCTTCGGGGATGCTGAATAGTTGTTCTCGGTGGCCACGCTTTCCTTGTTTGTCGTGCATCGTTTTGCAGGATTGTGGGGTTCATTTTGAAGCGATGCACTTCAAACTTGAGTGGTGGCGATTTCATCTGATTTGTCTGGTGTTTTGTTTTCGGTGGCTTTTTGCGTGTTTGTTTATTCTCTTCTTTTTCTAAATGCTGGGTAATTATCCAGAATTGGCGCCTCTTGTTGAATAAATAAAAGAATAAAAACTCGTGTGTTTCCTTGAATTTCATATCCGAGGGCTGTGTGGAAAAGAATACACAGTACCTCTGCAGTGCTTGCACGAGAATAGGGACTTCTGTCATCTAACCAATGCGTGACACGATCGGCATACAATGAATAAATAGCGCAGCAAACACTTTAAAAAAGTACTGGTTCACCTCACTGAAATTCTAACCGGACAAAGCACATTCGTAAATTACTCCGGAGGAACCACACGAAAGCTAGGGATAGCCGGAGTGAAAAACCCCCGAAAAATGCTTCTGAGGTACCACGTAATCAGCCCAGCCATCCGGAGGAAAATGCCAGTAAAAAAGTACTCCAGCGGCGTTTCGCACTTTCTCCGGTCGGCCGGAGTGAAATATCTGCTTAAAGTAATCTGGGTGCGCCATTCAATTCCTCCGGCGAGCCGGAGCAAAAATGTTGCTCCGGACGTCCGGAGTAAAAATTGCTCCGGATTGGAGGGACGCTAGAGAACAAGCATTTTACTCCGATCTCTGAATATTTTTTTTACAGTGTACCGTCTACAAAACGGGTTGGCTTGTAAACCCTGGTAGAGTGACGTCATTCTCCCTCCTCAACAACTCGCCCAATAAACCATTTTGACGAGTCTCTGGTCTGATGTTGCAGAACCGTCGCACTTCGCCCGATCAGTTTAGATTTCATCCTAGACGTCCGACGGCAAACTCACAACGAGCAAGTTTTGCAATTGACAGAAAGTTATTGCTACACCATAAATTAGTACGCACTACAACTCCAATATAAACAACTGTCCTCAAGTCAATAATGAAAAAAAGTTTAAATTTTTGTTTATTCACATCAGTCACACCTGTGTAGCGGCAAAGGAATTCCGCCTCAACGCGTAGACCGTTTGTGATAACGCAATAAGTCAGGGTGTCGTAATATGTATTCATGAACGATTTGTATCCTTCAGAAAAACTGTTCTGTGACGTGGACGAATAAACTTTTGTTGTCGAGAGAGAATGTAGGAATAGCAGAGAGGTGAACTACCTTGCGTTGTTACCCTACGCGTGGGGAGGGAATAAGAGGCCAAGAGGGTGGCGGAGGTGCACACCACACAGAGTGCAGGGTTTCAAGGACAGTCGCTCAGATATGTTACCTTCAGGAATTAAAGAGCTCATGTGGCTTTTCGGGCTGATGTACTGCGAGATAATGTATCCAAGAACTTTACAAGATTTCGAGTGTTTTGCGCTGGTGCTCCTTGTGTTGTGTCATTTTATTTGCGAAGTTTTTATCACTAAAGCAAAACAAGGCAGATAACGTTGGATTCCAAGATTCCAATAAGTACACATAGAGACTTGTCGCAACACAAGTGCTATATGCCTTGCGCAGTCTGCAGTACGAGAGTCTAGAGGATAGGGAAGGTATAAAAGATAAAACCTTATATTGGTTCAAAATTTAGTGCAGCCATTAAAAGTACTGCCACGCAGAGATTTGCATGTTGCGTCAGGTGTGGCTCTCTTCCAAGCAGCCCTCATTAACGAGGTGGTCACACGAAGTACATTTCGTTCGCGATATTACGATGCACCGTCACTGCATCTGTATATTGCCCATTGGGATTGATGCGGAGGAAGCCTTTTATGTGGTTCTTGGCCCGGAAGGCAGCCAGGTGGGCATAATAGACGGGTGATGGAATGCTCATGCTGCGGGTGCAGCGCGCCACCAGATGGCACAAGTCGTATGTGAGCTGCTGCAACTGCTGAAGCGTGTGCTTAGACTCTTTGCAGAGGACATGGTAATGCGCGGGCCTGCTCGTTCCGATCGGGCCTTGGTGGCTACAGAGGAAGAAGTTCAGGTGTCCTGGCTGAGTGATCCCGTTTTCGACGGTCGTCCCTGGTGGAACGTTCACATTTATCGGCTGCTTATCGAAAATAGGCAGGAATCGAGTGTGGTGCCGCTTCTGAACAATGATGAACGTCACCGGGGGTTGGTAGTTGGGGCTTGCGCTTCTGCAGGCTTGCTTGATTGCATCGACTTCTTTAGCTTGAACTTCTTTGAATTGACCCTCACCGACTCCATCTCTGTAGACGATTATCCTGTCCGGCAGCCGTCTCTGCTTGCCATAATAGAATTTCAAGTGGTCCAATACCATGGCCTGCAGTAAGCAAAATTGGAATGAAGCTGGCGCAAGAACAATGAGAAAACTTGGCATACCGAATATCCACCACGCCATGTGCACGCTCGAGGTTTTATACGGGAAAGCTCCTTGTAACATACGGTTAGAGCAATTATGATTGCCCGCCAAATTATCGATCTAAATGCGCACTCTGAACGACGAATATATGAAGGCGAAAAGACCAGCGGAATTCATTTTGCTCACCGTGTAGGCCTGGTGCTTAGGCCATTGTCATATTGCCATCGCTTAATGTGCTCATTAGGAACAATGAATAGCACGCCTTGCCATTTCACTGCACGGAAGCGTTCACTACCCTGTGTTCGAGCGAAGGAAGAAACTTTTGCTAATTGGGAAGTCCGTTCTTTCGTGCCAGCAATGGTTAAGCCACAATCAATAATATCGACTAAAGAACAACACTGGTTTAACAACAGTGCTACAAAGGTTACTGGGTACGACCTGCAGCCCCTGTCGAGTTCGGTACTTAATGCTGCGCCAAGATTCTTCGCGAAAGTTGCCGAATCAAGCGCATGATACCGATGATACATCGTGTAAGAGCAACTCGAAACGTTGGCGGATTTTCAAGAGACATGACTTGAATGATTTGTAGTTACCGTGACATTTCTCGTTGAAGTCAAGCAGTAAAACACCTGTCTATTAGCATATTTCATAAATATATAACAATCAGTTTTATACTAAGTCAAGGGAAACGCATGTTGAAGTACAATGTGGCATGAAAATCCGGGTCCAAAACTGCAATTTAGCTCATGGTTCAGGTCTTGCTTCTTCCCTGTAGGTAATAAAGAAGAAAGTGGCGCGGTAGTAAAGTTACCAATGTAGCAGTTACGGCCTGCAGTTAATAGCCGTCATATAGTAAGAGCTTGTCACACTCGCAACATGTTTCATAAGTATCACTATATGAGAGCGCTCCTCTGAGGAGCCCGTTGATGCGTTAAGCGGTTTCGCCCTCGGTTGCGTAACAGCGCGAACGAGTGCGTGCCACAGCAACTGGAGAAGCACCTCTCTCTCATTCTCTCTGTCTCCCACCTAAGTGGTTATGAAAAAAGGAAGAGAAAAGTTCCGACCCTTTACCGTGTACTACTACTACTACTACTACTACTACTACTACTACTATGTACATGAAGTGCGAGCGTCAAACCAAAACGCAGTACGTGCCCCATCAATCAGGCAAATGAAAAAAGCTGGCATAGGTAGCACCGAGTGGCCCTGCAGATATCAACCAGCTCCATCTCATCAATGCTGACAACGACATCGCATTATATACCTCTGGAAATACAATCCGGACGAAACTTATCCGTCTCCGTGCTCAAAGTTCACGTCCCTCACCACGCATGCCAAGGACATGCATCACCATCCTTTCTTCGACATGCCCCAGCATTATGCTTTACTAAAATATAGTCGTTGACAACCTGCTGTAGCACTCGAAGAGACTACGACAGAGTGGCGTCAGTGGCTATATACTTGCGTATAGGTATGTCAGCTACCAAATATTTATGTGGGTAGTGCAAAGATATAGCTGGGCAAGTGTGTGCACCAAAGTTGGACAACGGCTTGCAGGTAGCGGCTTTGTACCTTTGGCCCAGAGTGATTGCCAAAGATCTCATGCACTTCCTGAACTTCGCATCAAGCGCACATATAGGCACATGAATCGGTGAATGATTGAGACATAAAAGCACACAAGAGCTTTCTACCGCACATTCGTGAGGACATCCCATTCCGCTCCGTCATAACATTCCACGGATCTCACGACCTTGGGAAATACTCGTAGACCTCGCCTTTGAGAGCCAAGCTTTGGTGCTACAAGTTGCACTAACAGCATCGGCACTAACATTTCCGACCACAGAACGTCCTTCATTTTAGTACATGGCTGGCACACGTGTGTTCACTAGAGAGAATTCTGGAGTATAATTAGTGGTATGGAACTGTGCATGCGCAGATGTCTCGCTCAAATTGTTGAAACTTATCGCAAAACCGAAGTACCCTGAATGCTGCCTACAGAACACCCATTAGGCAGTATCTTAATCATCAGATTTTTATTGTGATAGAAATTACACCAACAGTCTCGATGGCTTTTTGCCGTTGTCACCTTGTCCCGTTTAAAGCGCATATTTATAACATCTACCAGCTTTATAGTAAGGTCTAACTGCGGGCAACAGCGTGGGAGCGGGGGCTACTAACGCGGCTGAAGCGTAGATCAAACGAGCTGGCCAATCTCCATCGTGACGAGTGCAATGGCACTGGTCCGTTGGACCAGTCGTCGAATGCTTAAGCACAAAGGCCCGCTTTTAACGAGAACGAAAAAGACTCGAGGAGGTGGCGGGGTGGGGGGGAGGGGGAGTCGTCGTTATCGAGCAGCAGCTGTGAAAGTTGATTGTATGGGGGTAGTTGGCTATGATGGCGCACGCGCAATGTTGCTATCTCGGCTGCCATCAGCTGGAGGCTCGTACACCTTTCTACGCGCTGCGCTCTCAACCGGAAGAGTGTGCCAAAAGTGTCCCGAACGTATTCTCGTAAACCAACGCTTTGTAGAGTTGATCGGACCGATAACTTGCCGACAGCTTCCCTTTGTATACAAGTGCAATTAGTCGCTATCGCATTCATCAATCCCCTCTTGCGGTTGGTACAAGTTGTGACGAACAAGAGAGAATGCTCTATAGAGGCGATGAATACGAAGACTGATAGCTCTAGCGTGTATCGTGTGTCGCCGCCTGTACTGAGAGACTCTGCGCGGACATTGTAAATACATTTGTTCCACTCTTTCTTTAGTTCAGCGATTCTTACTCCCATGACACGGTAAAACTGATTTTTGGAAGTGCACGCTCCTTGTCGACCGAAACGCGTATTAGCGTCACGGCAGCGCCAGTACGCAAGTAGCGTTGCAAGAACTGCTGCACCACATGATATGCTCGCCTTCAAAGTTAAGCTTTGCGATCGTGCCGGCAGAGGGAGGACCAAGTAAAGTTCCGCTGTTAAAACATTTATACACATTGCGATACAGGTATGCAGTCAGAGCCGAAAGAAACAATAGCGCTGCATTTCAAATTATTGAGCGCAGCTGCGCCGGATTCAAGACGCTGCCACCTCGACATACTCCCGTTCCAACGTCCAGTGATTGGAACAGCAACAGAAGCAAGGAAACTACGGAAATTAAGTAACGGAACAACAAATGTTTACTGACCTTCAGGTCCGTCACGACTTCCTTACGGGCCACCGCTCCATCTGGGTTCATCTGGACTGAAACCCGAGCGCGGTATCGGAACGCGTTTTTGTCAAAGCTGGCGACGCATGCAGCGATGGATGGCTTGTGGCTGCATGAAAGATTGAACAGTGCAAGGTCATGGTTACATTGTGCCCACAAGTCCAGCAGGTCCCCGCCCGAAATTCTAGCGCGTAGCATGTGACACTCAAAAGGCTATATAGCCAGTATTCAAAGTTCGTAAACGTGGAGACTCCATGAGAGCCCAGACTTGAAAGATCTATTGTGAGTATTCACGACTGATATAAGGAGGAAAGATTTCGTGGCCACTAGGTTAACGAGGAGCACCCGCGTCATCGTGGAACAGGTGTTACATGAACAAGTTAATGTGATAAACGATGAAGCAGAGGAGGGCATTAACTGGCCTGCATAAACGCTGCAAAGGAATGTTTGATCCCTTTGTCATATGGAACAGCGTAACTGGAAACAAAAAGGTATCCTTGTCGAAGTAGTTGAACGTTTAGTGTACACTGGTGAGATTTGCGCAATGATTTTCGTGCTTAGCAGAAGTACAACAGTGCTTAGTGTTTAAACAAGCAATTAGAGTAGCTGGATTAGTGAACGGAGAAAGTGTAACCAAAAAAAAAATGCCAGGTCTGCGCGGAAGGCGCAGCACAGCGAAAGCTGAAAGAGCAGGTGTTCATAGCGTTTTATAAACACTCAATGGGTAACTAATCCAACCACACTTGCTCGATACCCACTACGGCATAAATCAAAATTTTTCGGGCAGTAAGCCGGCATTCACTATGCTAGTTTTTGTCATTCTTCCGACAAGCGTGGTATCGGATGAACCCTTCCAAGAAATTTTGTGCCAATTTTTCGTGCAATGGCTGACAACGATGAGAAATTATGGCTGAAGTGGGCATGCACCACAATTTATGGGTGAACAACGACAAGCTTTCGTAATGGGTTGGAGCTTTGAATGACCCCCCACGTTACGCTATATATTCGCATTGTGCGACGACGGCTTGTTTTTTCGCAGTTTTAAAACGCTTTATAGTGCGTGTGAACGCGATTTGGTTTCCCGACAGCAAGCTTGCCCAAGACAAGTTCGATAACCAATCACAAGCACTGGCTAGCTCAGTGGTAGAATGGGCTAGCACCCTGTGGACCCGGGTTGGCGCCCCCCTTATCCACTGGTGCTAGGGTTTTCTTCAATGTTCGGTATGAGGTTATGGCCTTTCGTGGCCGACAACTGCGCGTGACCCGAGTTGTGATCTCGTAACAGCATTCGCTGCAAACGTCCACTAAAGGGAAACTCGATGAGGATCGTGTCCACCCGGACAGTGTACGAACCAGATGAGGCAGGCGCACATGCGCTGGCAGTTTCCGTACAGGCACTGAGAAGAGCTAATCACCGAGGCCACGGTCACAATGAATTACTTTGCTCCTCCCAGAGGACGACGCCATCTTACCGAACAAGAGTGTTACTGTAGAAACGTGTACGAGATATAAAAGACTCGTATTCAAAGCCTCCATAGTGCGTAACCGCGTCGCAGTTTTTTACAATGAGAACAATCTGTACCCCATTAGAGATACTCCCCTTCTAGTCAAGCGCTAACCAGCAAAGTAGTTTTACTAAGAATGCTTTGAATACTTCTGGCATTAGCATTCGTGTCACAAGTTTAGCAATGTTTTTGTTGTGGCCCTCGCTGTAGCATAATTAGTACAGAAGTGCTAAGAGAATGATGCCTATCAAGCCCGAGTGTTACAACACCCAAACTTTCAATAGAACAGTGCTAGCTCAAATTTTCGAATGAAAAAAACTACTTCACGTAAAAACTTACGCACTGCATCACAACCATTTTCTTCAATGTAGACAAAAAAACCCGCACCCGAACACAATACGAGTGTTTTACGGTGCAAAAGCACGATGCGATTACGAAGTGCTTCGAAAATTTTGACAATTTGGTGTTTTATGACGTACACTGACATCTTCAGTACGTGGTCCTCGATGATTTCACCTCCATAAAAATGGGAACGCAGAAGGATTTAAAGGCGGGCTAATCGGTATAGATTCGCACTGAAATATCGGCAGCTGAAACTACCGGGACGCAAAAGGAGGAGAAGAGCAAGCACAGACTGAAACTTGCGCATTCACGGAAGATAATGCAGGGAAATGGAAATGTGAAAGGGAAGGGCTCACTGCGATTAGGCGTCGTCCAAAAACGATATTTCACAATACAAAAGGGATATAGATGGCGAGCTGACGACTATCGAAATTCTTTTTGTTTAATAAAGAAAGCTTCCGCAATCTCCCTAGTTTTTGTGTCGTGCCGAGTGTGTAATACGTGCGCAAAAATTCACATACGTGGCCCTACTATGCAATGGACGGACAATTGTGAACCCGGGGCCTACTTCAGCTCACTGTGTAGCTGTTCTCGCAGGCGGATGTTCTTTTGTGACCTGTTTTGCGTCACATTAGCTTGTGCGGCCAATATTTCGGTATGAAATGCAAATGCCATGGCCGGTATTGAACAGGCGATGTTCTAATCAGCAGCCAAGCACCCTAGCCACTGATTCACATAGGCGGACGAACGTAGAGCACGTTTTTTGAACACTGTTGGAGTGAGGTCTGTTTTTTGAAGGGTGGGTTATCATGCAAAGGCACCTTGAATTTGAAAAACTACCGCTTACGCCACAAGATCTTGCTTATTTAGCGAAGGGTCAGGGCATTGTGCTTTATGACGTCTTTTTTTTTTCCTTCGTCGACCTTCAGGGCAACTGGAGAAACCGTATGGCTGTAAGGAACGGACAAGTTTGACATCAATGAATTATTACTTTACCGACTTCTTAAGCAGATTATGTGAAGCGTTTGGAAAACCTGAATATGATGAAGTGATGAAATTTATGAAGGCTCACATCAAAATGAATTTTTATGTAATATCAACCGCATGCTAAAAGCGCTGCAGCTGGGAAGTGCGTCCAACGCTTAGACATAAAGAAAAAAAATAGTGAATGTGTTGCTGGAGTTTGTCGTGGCTCGATAGCTCATGGGTTCGACTCCTGTTGAGGAAACGTTTGCCTTCATTTATTCGTGGGCAGTTTTTAGAAGTATATCCGATACAAAAATGTGCTACTAATGTCTTGGCAAACCCTGGCATAAAAGAAGATCATGGTAAAATAGTGAAAAACAATGGAGTACTCACTTGTCCCCAGGCGCAGGGTGATTGACATCGATTCCGATGAAGAGGGCATTGATGAAGATGGCATTGACATTTTTGTCACTGCTGACGGTGTTATTGCAGCCGCCAAGTTTGGCATTCAGCTTGAGGCAGATGTTTGGCCACAATACTTCCTGTTTTACTGTTGATAGCTTTCCTTCTTGAACGCACTGAGTTATGATGCCCGCCACTTTTTCTGCCACAGTTTTGACGGCCGCATAGAGAGTGGAGTTTCCAAGAACAACGAGGACAAATTTTTTGGCAACAGGTTTTGCGCCTTCAGACATATTGCGAACAAGTTCTTTGAAAGCATTAGTCAGGTGCTTTGAAGCTTCCAAATCGTTGGTGTGCACATGTTCAATATTCTTGTTATGGTTCAGTTGAAGGCCAAGGGCTGAACCATAGTCCTTCAATTGATCAGCTGCTTCTAGAAGTTGCTCATTGGGGATTTCGCAGTTAACTGCCAGCACACCGAAAAAGAACTCTCCCTCTGTTTCGGAAAAGAGGTCCCCTTTGGGTACGTACCACGTGCCCCGATATGGCACTTTCTTACCAACCTGAAAATGAATTGCAGGAGGCGAGAGAATGCGAGCTTCGACTTCTACCATGTGCTGAAAAATTCAAGTTAAACCCTCGCAGACAATGTTGCGCTCTAGAGAAAAAGTCATCAGCAAATTGCTTGATAAACGCGAACCGCTGTTCGGGACTAAGTTTCCCGAGTGCGGCGAGCATACGTTCAGTCATGTCTTTGTCGAGCTTACGCTTACACGGCTGCGCTGGAACGTGACAAAGATCCAGTGGTAGGTAAGGTTCTTCTTTCCCTTCGCAAAGTATGCATGGCAGCCTTGGTTCGATTTTAATCTGATATTCATTTGCGAAGTACTCGACAACACTCATTTCTTCGCCCTTTCCCTTTTCGGGGCTCTTCTTGGCCCTTTCTTTGCCCTTTTTTTCCATTTCTTGGTCATTCGTGGCACTTTCTTGGCCATTCGTGGCACTTTCTTGGGCTTTCAGTTTTTGATTGGCAGCATTGTTTTCACTGACCTTTACCACTCTGTAAAACCGTTTGTAACCCAAGTGTGTAGTATAAACCTGTAAACCCTCGAGCGCCTCCGTCAAGAGACGGGTGTCCCACAAAGTGATCTCATCTCCCTTCGCGGCACTTTGTTGCGAAATCCAGTAGACTTCTTGAATTGTAGAAGGGCATTGCAGAGAAGTCAATATTTAGCATCAGGGACTTCTCACATGGCCGAAAGCTTGGATAGTATCCGGACCACAGCTCGGCAAAAGTTCCAAGTTCAAGGGGTTCAGCTTGCGGATTCTTGAAGAAGCAGTGCCCCACGACTTCGTGACCCGGGCGTGCAGCGTGCCTTATAATGATATCGAGTGCCTGGATATGTTTTTGATGCACGTCTTGGTTGAACGGAGTCTTCAGCTTGTCCATGTCTACGCTGGATGCGATCTTGAGGGTGACGGAGAAGTCCGGCCCGCCCTTGTCGATTTGTACGACGCATTCGCATTCATTCGATGGCAACTCGCGGCTTGTGTAGATATTCTTTTCGCCATCGAACGCGAGCGAATAGGGCCGGAACTTTGCGGTCTTCTGAAGGGCCTCTATCACGAGACGCTTGACACGTGTGCTGAGGCCCCGCGGCTCTGTGGCGCTGGAAGGCTTGCGTATGAGGTCGATTTGCACGTCATAGTGGTATACGATACCGCTCGGTCGTGCTATAGCAAAGTAGTTTGTGCGCAGCTCCATCGTTTTATGGGTGAACCATTGCTTCTGGGCACGCTTCACCAGATCGGGATCAGTGTGGAATAGCTCCGCTGAGGTTCCAGGACCTGCATGTTGAAGGCAATTATAGAGCTTGCTGACATTACATAAAATATGAAGGATAAAAACAAGTCCCCTTTTTAACTTGGAGGTGGAGCTTTGTATCACCTAAGTTACTACTTCGATTGCTGAACGCAAAAGGGAAAGGGAACAGAAAAGGTTATGCAAAAACTAAGAAGTCTGGTTACCCTAAAAGAAAAAAAAACACTGCAGTGAAGCGCCAGGTCTCTATTCACGAATTTCTGCAAATAGTGACGAAGTGTGTGCAGTACATGGACAGCACGTTCATTGTGTATAGCCAGAAAAATTTGTTGCCTAGATTGATAGCCGCGGCTGCAGAAAAGAATCGCGATGACTGTGAGAGCACCACCCACCACACTCACACCGAAGTGACTTCGCAGTTTAGATGTTGTGCGAGGCAATAACAAATAAGCGCTGATTAGCTTAACAAGTGAGTTTTTCCGATATACACTTCATACACTTTTATATGACCCCCCCAAATAACCACCCAGTCGAAGTTAAACGCTAGCGTCGCGTACTTCTTGCCGTCCCTGGATAGTTTTGAGCTCACTGCAAAGATGAATCGGTGTCGTCTGGCCCGATCGACATTCATATTTAGTACGTTGCGATCGTACTACCACCACCACCACCACCACCAGCCCACAGCCCTGGGCAGTGTAGGCATTCATGACGGGATGGTTGACTGCTGCCCGCAGCGTTTAATATCACAGCAACCTTTAAGTCAGTGCAGCATAGGAATGGCGAAGGCGATTGAAACGCGTCGAGAACTATTGGACACGTGTATTATCATAGGGTATGCTGCAAGCACGGGCGAGAATAATCTCTCGTATCCTGAAAACGGAAGTCTAGCCCCTACCCTCTCGGTACAGGCTGCAGAAAAACATATCGTCTTCGAGCGCGAACAGGAAGGCTTTCGCTAAGTTTACCCAGTACTCGCCCTAATGGGAGCAGTCAGCTATACCTCAGAGCGTAAAAGTAGCAGCCCAGAAATGTTACCAACGATCTCTGCCAAGTCCTAAAGCGCTAAAAAAAAAAGATATCATCCCATTTGAAGACGGTCAAGCTCAAGAGACCTTGAAATGATGAAAAAAAAAAGTCGTGCTGGGTATACCCAAGACACGCAAATGCATTAAGGAAAGTCCACAGATTTTGATATATATGTGAGGTTGAACGTCCCAAAACCACCATATGATTATGAGAGACGTCGTAGAGGAGGGCTCCGGAAATTTCGACCACCTGGGGTTCTTAACGTGCACCCAAATCTGAGCACACGGGCCTACAGTTGAGGAAAGTGCAGTAGCCATGTAAGCTTTCACAACGAGCACGGTCGCGCTGTTGAGAAATGGCAATAATTTAGATATGTGCTGTTCAACGTCCCATTAAAGAACGGCCTGAACTTCACGTGTGAACTCCCAGTAAGAGTAAGTGTTCTTAAAAACACTGTAGAGTGATAGGGCTGAAACAATCATGCGATATGTTTACGGGGTAGTGACGGGAGGGTGAGGGGGGAGGAGCAGTCGATGTCGTCAAGGTGAAACTATTTGGATGAACTTGCGGCCGTTCAAACGCGAAGTCAGATTACAGCATACACAGTAGCACTGACAGCCGTGAACAGAGCATCTGCCGTCGATGAAACCGAAGAGCGATTACGAGCGTCGACAGTTATACTTGTGCCATCGAATGTTCCAGCGTTATCGTAAGCGGCCACGCTAAGTTGCAACAGAATGCACATGTTCACGTTTTGCGCGCAATCGCATCAGAAGGGCGTATGATTGTTTCCATGGAAATAATAATGGTAATTGGCGAGGTCATGCAAGGCACTACTTACGCGCATAATGGTGTGATAACAAAACTTGAGAAACGCGTGGCAGTATTTACACCGGAAGAAAATTAGAAGAACAAGGATATCCCCGCACACACTACCGACCGCTAGTTACGCTACCGAGGGTGATGCTCCGCACAATTCGTGGCTGTGATTTCAGTAATTCCGGATCACTCAATCGCGCAAGTGTTCACAGGAGTGTTAAAGGGGCACTTTTGGTGGTGCCGACCAGGGCTGACGCGAACCATATGTTCGCTACAATAAATAAAAATTTGGCAGAACCCACGTACAGTGGGAATTGGTATGCGAAGCACGAATGAGAAGGGTTGATATGTCACTTTAAAATCAGCACAATGCTACGAGGTGGCAGTCAATGATGCCGTACATGACTTCCGTGCCATCATTCTGATGTTTGGTTTACCTTTGTCCTCTATTCACGTCACGCGATACCAAATTTAGTATATGTGGAGCGAGTGAAACGACCGTAAGTACGCTATGAACGTGTCATGTTGTCATTTTTCTACATGACATGCGTGTAAGGATCACCATGTTTGCACCAGTCATACTTTCGTCATTCATTGACGTCACCTAACACCAACTTTAGTATATGTGAGCTAGCGAAGCGGCCGCGAACGTAGCGTGAAGGGCCCAATATACTCCAATTTATCGTTTAAGCGCACGCAAGCTGGGCACAGCGGCGCTACGTTAGGAAAAGGCGAGCATTCTATATCCCGACGCCGGGCACGCCGTAACGCGCATGCGTCTAAGCAACGCTGACCAGCGCGCGCCTGGCATTATATGGCAGGACCGGCGCCTGGCGTGGCAACACCGGCGCGACGCGAAGAAATGAACGCCGGTGAGCACGCGCATCGCGTCACGTCGAAATGTATTGGCGCCTTGACTGTGGCATGTAGTCATGTTCTGACATGACGCGCATCTCTTGCTTATCTGTGCACCAGTGTCATACCCGCATCGTCCAGTCACGTCACGTAATACCGAATTTGGCATAAGTGAAGTGAACGAAGCGACTGGCAGCGTATCATGTGCGTGGCATGAAGTCATGTTACATGACAGCATCTCATGATTATCATGTTTGCACAAGTCACATACCTTCATCCATTCACGTACTGTAATGCCAAATTTCGCGTATGTGACGCTAGCGACACGACCGCGAGTGCACTATGAGGGGCATGTAGTCATGGTAATACACGACACGCATGTCATGATGTTCATGTGAGGGTCTGTCGTTGCGTTCACCTTGCAATCATGTCATACCAGACCAGTTTGCAACATGCCATGTGAACGAAACCACCGCAAGAACTGCTAGACTATGAAATGTAAATCATGACATACCATGACTTTCTTGCTACGACTAATCAAACATGTTTTCATATAGTCATGTTATGCCATACCAAGTTTGGTATCGATACCATTATCGATACGACCAGGAGAGCTAAAGGTCGTAGGCGGCTACATAGATACGCCCAAAGTCGCCGAAGTTCGCCAAGAAATGCGTATAATTTAATAGTGATCAGGCCAATATGAGCGTCAAACTCATTTATTAGTTTAATCTTACACGCTATTGACTCCAACCTGGACTGCTAATTAGGACCTCAGCTAATGATGTATTGAGAAGCACGCATTACCAATTATTATAAAAAGCCTATACAAATCACTTGTTATTCGGGATTCAATGGGTGCAGTAGTCAGCATGTCTGTGCAGTTTACACCTCGAGGATCATTATGTGTTGCTCGGCTTTCCCAAGCACATTGCACAAAGAATGACTAAAAAGGAAACTTTCCCGTAGGCCAGTGGGCGAACACCATCCCCGTCTCTGTCAAAACTTGACCACAAAACCAAGCATGCGTGCTGAAGCGTCCTCTGGTTTTAGTAAACCGAGCGGTACAACATGGTCATCACAGCATACAGGACTGGCGTGACGAAGAAAATGGTTTAGCTCCAGTGATCAACGAAGAACAACGAGGGGGTTATGCTATAGCGATTGAATCGACCAAGCATATAACAAACGAATACGTGATGTGGGAAGGACAGGTTTGTCAAGCTAGAAGTATACACTGCCAACACATAAGCAACAAGCGCAGCTTGGCCTCGGGAGTGACTGCAGCAAGTCTCCGGTTAAGCACGGATTGCTTAATGCTAGTGATGCTTTGAAAAGCAAGAAGGTCTGCGGATATCTCCCCATAAAGAACGGGATCTGTTTCTACGCCATGACTATGGGCTCTGCTGTTTCTACCACCCGGTTATGCATGCAAGTTCTCGGGCATTGTTCTACAGAGTAAAAATTATTGGGGCTTAACGTTCCAAACCCCCAACATGATAATGATAAACGCCTTAGTAGAGCGCTTTGAAAAATTGGTCCATCTGAGATTCTTCAAATTGCATCAAAGGCCAAGTGCCCAGCACTAAAGCCTCTTCGCCTCCATCAAAATTATGGCCGCCGCGACCAGGACTCGATCACGTGATCTACCTTATTGCCGTAAGAACGCGACACGTTGAACAAATCCTCGCCACTGATTTCAAATCGCCGAAGTGATTGAATGTATGCGTTTGCAAGTGACAGAGCGCAGCAGATCGACTAGTCGAGACGTTTACAGTAAAGCTCACTATGAAGGATGGGAGCACGAGGGCGATGCATGGATCGTACTTGTACTGAAGTATTTGAAACGTCCGAAAGCATGCGAATTTTAAAGTTCACCTGTTAAAGAAGGTAAGTGGATACGGACTAAGCATGAAACAACTGTCAGTGTAGATAAAGCCACGCCGCCTTGTTCGTCCAACGCATGGTGTATATAAACGACTTCTAGTCTTGAAATATGCGCAAAAAAAATTGGCTTTAAGCGATAGCAACACACTTCGAGAACCAATTCGTGAAACTTGATAGAAAGTTCATTCGGGACAGTGATTATACAATATTGAAGAAAGAAAGGCCGAGGCAATAACGGCAGTTATGTTACAGTTGCGGTGTTTTTTTTGTGCGTTTGGTGTGGATGCGCGGCAGGCAGGACTAGTAGGAGGGGCAGCATTTTAGATGCAAAGCATCCTCGACTAGCGTGTGTGACGCGGTCCTGCCATCCGCACTGCTCCCATCACCACAGGTTGTGGAGCGGTGCCAAGTAGCTCACGCCCGCCTAGCAGTGGGGCTCTTCAAGTTTAGTTCTGGCTACTCGCAGGCTGCCAGAACCAGCCAGAACGCGCTCGTTTTTCTCTGGCTGCTCCGTCCCGCGGGGAGCCCGAGGATCACCATACACTTCCAGGACAATATAGTCGTGGAAGCTCTCTGGAAGGTTTTGGGCAGGCTTCGGGCTAGTAGACATGACATTTGTTAAGGGCCACTTTGGACTGGAAAACAGGCCCAGGCAAGTTTCAAAACGAGTCAAAAAATGGTCATGAAAATGCTTATTTGATATACGATGCACACTCGCGGTACCGATACCAACGCATGTCTAAACTTCAGACAAAAACGCAAGTTGATCAACGCGTATATGCGACGTGTACTACACAATAGCTGAGCAGTTATATATTCTCGAGCTCTTTGGGGGAGACTATTACTTGCACGTGATTTCGCGACATGTGCTGTGACTGATACATGTACTAAAGAGACGTGAACCTTTAGGAGTGAAGCTCCTAATAGCAACAACCATCCGTCCCTTGTAGTAGTGTGTAACAAGTAACAAGATGGGCATGAAATCAAAACATTGAAAGCAAGGCGGCTGCGCAGTTGTTTGTTTAAAGAAAATGGGAAAAAAAATCGAACACCACAAGAGATTACGTGGCGCCGATGACAACAGTCTGCACTGGTGGTGGTCGTTGCGCAAACATTGGGTGCAGTTTGTGCCATTGACAGCGACAAATTTCGTACACGTTGGTATAGTGTGAAAACTTTCAGATTCTTCAAGCCACGTCGGATTCCAAGCGGGTCCCTCTGAAACCGAAAACGCAAAGCCGAGCCTCACGATCACATCACAGGGCCGATGTTTTCACTTGGGGGCTACGGAGGCCCGTGTCCCAACAATTATAAGTGTAATCTTTGTCACTGTATGCAACACAAAGCAATGCCTAAGGATACGCGGGTTGTTTGATTGATCGCGAAACTATTGTGGTCATGCAAGGTGCGCGTGAGCGCGCAGCGGGCGACTCCCACGTAAAGACCGTTAGACCAAGCCTATCGGCCGCTCCATGGGCCAGCTGGATGGCCCAAAGTTTGTCGGCCAGGAGGAAGCTGCGTTGGGCCGCCTCCCACCTGAGCGATGTAGTGTCGGGGTTAGTGTACATTGCCTTGCACTTCAGGGCATGTGCGCCAGCGTGCATACGTCCCCACAGGCGGGGCAAGCGTCATTGGGGAACACGTCAGGATAAATAGCGTAAAGGGATATCAGGTCTGAGTACGTGTCGGTCTGCAGAGTTCTCTATGCGGAACCCGCAGCAGGACTACGACGCATGCCATAGCAGAGGGCTCTGAAGATTTCTACAATGAAATACAGCCCTCTGAAACAAAGGATGGGGAGTGTTACTGAACCTAGTTAATGATACCTGGTTACTGAACCGACTCTGCATCTAGTCCTGGCTGTGGTGGTCGCACGTCGATCAAGGCAGAAGACTAGGGGCCCACGTGCTCCACTTTAGTTGTACAATAAAGAATGCCCGATTCATTGATACGTGGGGTTTAACGACTGCCTACAGATGACAGCGACTTTGTCTAAGGTCTATAGCATGGGAGAGACGAACGCGGCTGAAGCAGAGGTCAAACGAGCTGGTCTCCATCGCGAAGCATGCAAAATGAACGGCCTGTTAGACCGGGTTCGAATGCACGGAGGAAGCCACTCGAGATGGAGGGGTTGCTCGTAGCAGCCATGACCCGATTTTACGGGGGTGGTCGCCAATACTGGCGCAGGTGCTATGTTGCGATACGATTGATATGTGGGGTTCAACGTCCCGAAACCACCATATGAACACGAGAGACGCCGTAGTGGAGGGCTCCGGAAATTTTGACCACCTTGGGTTCTTTACTGTACACCCAAATTCGAGCACAAGGGCCTACAACATTTCCACCTCCATCGGAAACGCAGCCGCCGCAGCCGGAATTAGATCCCGAGACCTGCGGGTCAGCAGCCGAGTACCTTAGCCACTAGACCACCGGGGCGGGGCGAAACAAGCCGAAATCGTTACGTGGATTAATTGCGGAATACCCGATTGCCAAAGCGAACCCCGCAGTTTCTGTCGTGTATGCGGGGAAGCGATGACATATTGAGGTGGCTGCAGGCTAGACTAGTACTGGAGACGCCTATGACGGCTGGTAGTGTGATGCACGCTGAAGAGGGTAAAGTTGTCCTCGTGGGAGAGTGAACGTGGAATCGGTTGCGTGAAACAATTCGCAGGCACACATGTATGCATGTGTGCAAGTCGCGTTCAGTGCGATAAGCACACGCAGCAACGTGCCACGATTGTAACACAATCGCTCGGGCGATCGTCAAGCGACAGACGTGGTATAGCTTTACGGCGTCGTCAAAGTTTGTGCATTCGAACGCAAGCTGAACGAAAACGAGGTTAGGATTTCGGCTTGTGCGCATGCGTTCAGTGCAGAGCAAAGTAGTAAAGTACACAATCAACTTTAGCAAGTAGTGGCTAGCTAGCTTTCGGTTCGTTAGACCTGCCTCAAGTTGATTACATGCTGTCCTCATAAAAACGACGCCCGTAAGGCCAGTGTTATTTGTGTCGAGTAGGAAATACGGCGAGTCGATCAGTCTCAAGACATTTGCGAAAACACGCGGAAGACGTTGCAAAGACACCGCAAATTGTTTTGCCGCATGTTAGGTCTATCAACTATACGACGCAAACTGAAGCGTAACATAGCAGGGAAAGTGGCTGTAGTGTGCGAAACCGTTCGTATTATAGATAAACGTGATTCAAACCGCCGTGCTGAAACAATAGGACCGAGCTTCCACAAATTATTGGACCCCACATGCCGAAAATCACAGCTCAAAGCACGACATCTGACCTGTGTTTGCTCGAAGCGGTGTCAGTTTCTTTTTGATCCCGCCGTTTGTACAGAACTGCCCGGCTGGGTCAATAAATCCACCCAATTACAAGATTTGAAAATGGTGCACGCGTCGGTAAATATGGCATTCAAAACGTACGAAATAAGAAACATGCCCAATGTAACCTAGATAGTGATTGATATAAGGGCTCACACGATGAACCTCTGTGTATTGTATAACTACAACAAACTCGCTGCTGGGAATTACGCTGCACCATAGTATTGAAACAGGGTTCTGCCGAAAACCGATAATGAAACAGTTCATGCACATTTACGGAAACCGATACACACCAAGTGCGCCATACTAACGCAATGATCTGGCATCCGCTATACGTAATGAGAAAAACAGACTGACGAGCGGCTGTGATAGTGTTGTCGCGGGCCACTCCAAATTGCTACACCTTGACTGATCGCGTGCTTGTGTATGTGTTGTGCTATCTTTTTCTACCCTTTCACTCTCTTAATCTATCCCATCCCGTTCCCACGTGTAAGGTTAGAGAACGGTTATCAAGACTGTTTAACCTCGACAGCTTTCCTTCTCTACCACTTCTCTTTTACTTAGACGAGGGAAGGCGTTTGTGCCTTTATTTAGATATACCAAGGAAGTGAGGTAGCGCGCATCCCATTTAACTGGAAATCTAGGCTTCGGGTTTTGTCAACAGGTATCGTGTTCGAACCAATAACTCTCAATAACAGATTTGTGGCGGGTATGAACATCACTCACACTGCATTGGCTCGCGGATTTAACAAGCTCGTCATGACGCTGCCATCTGGATCATCACGTATGACGAGTTGGGAAGACGAGTCGCCGATATAGAAACGTCTTAAACCTTGAGCGAGTGGAAAAGAGAGTGATGGTAGTGTTCGCTGGCACCACCCCCAAAGTGGAATTGGAATGTCATTACTGACACGCAGTGTCTACAACGTGGCAAAGACGAATACAACGTGACCCAGATTGGCCCCATCAAACAGTACGCCGGACTGGGAGACGCCCCGTGTTTCGCAATAATGAATCAACTAAGAGAATTGATCGTTATCACACGACGAAGCATCCCTTACCTTGCCATTGTATGCCACCCTTTCCGCCTCCTCGTTGCCTTTCCTGCTGTCCGCCTTGAGACTGTTGTCCACGAGGTCCCTCTTCGCGTCGTGGTCCTGTTCGTCCAGAACATCCTTCGCGTTCAAGGCTTCCCCTGCCTCCAAAACTTTTACCACCTCCATGCCTTTCACTGCCTCCAGGACTTCTACTAGGCCCAGGCTGTTCATAGCTTCCAGGATAACCACCGCCTCCATAGCCTCCATAGCTTTCATGATTTCCACCATGGTCAGGGCCTCTATAGTTTCCAGGACTCCTACCACGTCTGGGGCTTGGAATGCCTCCAGCATTTCCAGCATAACCACGGCCTCTACCGCGACTAGGGGTTGCACCGTGACCAGGGCCTTCACCGTGACCAGGGCCTTCACCGCGACCAGGGCCTTCACCGCGACCAGGGCCTTCACCGCGACCAGGGCCTTCACCGCGACCAGGGCCTTCACCGCGACCAGGGCCTTCACCGCGACCAGGGCCTCCACCGCGACCAGGGCGTCCACCGTAGTTAGGCATCTCTCCGCGTCCAGGACCTCCTCTCTGCTGCGGCGCTCCTCGCCTGCCTAGACCGCCAGCCTCCAATGCTGCTGTACACGCGTATGCACGGCGCGGACGATTACTTCGACTATTTAAGGGAGCCGGCAACGCCCATCGGCAAAGAAGTCACGTGTTTTTAAGTGAGGGCACTTGCGCTGGCAATATTATACTAAGTGTCGCAGCCACTGCATCTTGCCGAAAAAGCAAGCAGTGGCACCAGGTGACACTGTATTGTCATGATAAACAGCCGCCTCTGATATGTCGACTGATTTCTTTGCTAAATGCCCTCTCGTCCGGATGGTGGCATGACAGCACCTATACATCTGCGTGTATATCACCGAGAATGCAACTCCAAGTAAAATGTGGGCATTTTGCTCATTGCTGAAGGATCATTAGAACTAAGACCATTCAACAAAAGAGCTCTATTGCGTAAAGAGTGAAAAAGACACCATCGTTTTTTTTTCTTATCTAAGTTTGATATTCGTACTGAACTTCGTCTAAAGGCTGTTTCACATGTCGCGATGGCAGTGAGAAAAATCGTTCCGTTCACTCATATCACTCTCTTCGCCAACGCTGCTAATGGCGGTTTCGTTTCCTACGGACTGGGAACGGGCCACTATTATCGCTCTGCGACTGGACCACCGAGCTCGGTTTCTTGTGACCGTTCGTTGTGGCAGACAACAAAATTTTGCAAATATAGTTTAACAATCTACATGTGCTTTATGATATATTAAGTTTCCATGAACGGTAACGAAGCTCACTTGAGTTTCGCCATTTATGAACATCTTTTTATTCAAACTACAGTTTAAAATTCGTAACAGCGGCCATTACCAAAACAAACACGTCGACGCGATTTCGACAGGTTTGCCGGCCTGGCCCTATTTCGACGGGACCCGACTAAAATCGCTCCTGCCACTGGGGTCACAGCGAAAATTTTCAACATGTTGGAAGCTTGCCACGGACCGCTGCAGTGAGAGCGAGCTGGCACTTTTTTTTACGCTGCGAGTGAATTCGCAGACCGAAAATCGCTACTTTTTGTGCCTTGTGAAACGGCCTTAGCTGGCTCTCAGAAGCACCTGCGCGTTGTGCGCTGTTGCATGCCAAGGGGTGCTTTCCCGCAAGCTTACGAGACACAGGACGGAGCAACCAAAATTGCTGGAAATCGCTTTAAGTAAATGTGTATTTTGTTCTTAACAAAGCGTATGGTTTCAATATGGTAAAACGTAGCATTGTCGTGTTCACCAGAATTGAAGAAAGAGAGTGTCAACAGTGGAAAAAGAGCAAAGTTTGAAAGAGTGTACGTGACGTCACTGATACCATTGCTGTCTTCGATAATGTACTTCTAAATTGCCGATTATCCGTGAAGAATTGGCGCTCATCTTTCCCCTTGAATTGTAACTTTGTGTCGCTCTCCTCACCCTCTTTCACCTCGCAAGGCCGACGCAGGTACCATCTGCAAGAAAAAATTGGCAGATCCCGCGTACAGTGGGAATCGATGATATGCGAAGCACGAATTGAAAATGTTTAAATGTCACTTTAAAATCAGCACAACGTTACGAGGTGGAGGTAACTGATGTCGTACATGTCCTCGTTACCTAATTATCATGTTTGGATGTGTCGTTTACCTTCGTCATCTATTCACGTCACGTGATACCAAATTTAGTATATGTGAAGCTAGCGAAACGACCGTGAGCACGCTGTGAGCGAGGTATATTGTAATGTTCTTACATGACATGCGTGTCAAGATTATCCTGATTGCACCAGTCATATCCTTTCGTCACCTATTGACATCACTTAACCATAAATTTGGTATACGTGCAGCTAGCAAAACAGTTGTGAGTGCATCAAGAAAGGCCCCATTCACTCCAATGACGTGCGCGCATGCTGGGCACCGCGACGCTACGTTAGCAAAACTCGAGCACTCTATAGTCTGACGACACGCGCAACCAGCGTCCGTCGGCGCGGCCCGACGGCAACCGGCGCGAAATGCGACATGCTGCATTTTGCGCCGATTCGTTACTCAGACAACATTGCGTCTTCCTCTTTTCGTTACGGAGGGACGCCGTACGCACTGAAATGCGCATGCGTCAAAGCAACGCAGCGCGGCGCGCGCCTGCGAGTACATGGCAGGACCGGCGCCTGGCGTCGCAACGCCGGCGTGACGCGACGAAATGAACGCCGGTGAGCACGCGCACCACGTCACGTCGAAATGTATTGGCGCCTTGACTGTGGCATGTAGTCATGTTCTCACATTACGCGCATCTCATGATTATCATGTTTGCACCAGTCACCTTCATTATCCATTGGCGTCACGTAATACCAAATTTGGCATATGTGAAGATAGCAAAATGGCCGCGAGCACTTCATCAGTGTGGCATGTAGTCATGTAGTTACATGACACGCGTGTCGTGATCATGTTTGAACGTGTCATTTACCTATGTCATTCATTCGCATCGCGTAATACCGACTTTGGTACATGTGAAATTAGCGAAACGGCCGCGAGCGCATCAAGAGCGTAGCATGCTTTCATGTTGTTCCATGACACGCATCTCATGTTCATCAAGTTTGCACCAGTATCATACTTTCGCAATCCATTCTTGTTCCGTAATATCAAATTTGTTACAAGTGAAGCTAGTGAAACGGCCTCGAGCGCATCATGAGCGTGGCATGTAGTCATGTTGTTTTTATAAAACGCATGTCATTATTTTTATGCTAGGGTCTGTCATTTGTGTTCGCCATGCAATAATGTACTACCATACCAGCTTTGCAACATGCCATGTGAACGACACCACCGCAAGAGCTGCAAAACCATGAAATGTAAATTATGATATCATGACATACATGTCATAATTTTATAGGTATGACAAATCAAGTATATTCTTCGTACAGTTATGTTATGCGATACCACGTTTGGTATCGATACCATTATCGAAACGGCCAGGAGAGCTAAAGGTTGTAGGCGGCTAGATAGATAGATAGATAGATAGATAGATAGATAGATAGATAGATAGATAGATAGATAGATACACAGATGGATAGATAGATAGATAGATAGATAGATAGATACGCTCAATGTCGCCAAAGTGCGCTAAGAAATGTATCGCATTGGATTGGATTGGATTGGATAAACTTTTATTTGGTCCTCCAAAACACAGATCACTGTGATGCGGGCAGCTCCCACGTGGGGACTGATATGCCAAGCTCCTCAGCCGCCTCGTGGGCTTGGTGGACAGCCCAGAGCTGATCTGCCAAGGACGAGCTGCGGATATCCGCTTCCCATCTGGCAGAGGTGATGTTCGATATATGAGCGAATTCGGTGCACTGCCAGAGCATGTGTTCTAATGAAGCTATTTCCCCACAATGTGGACAAAGATTAATTAGGTATAGGTCAGGGTACATGATGTGTAACATTTTCAAAGTAGGGTACATCCGCGTTTGCAAAAGCCTTAATGTAAGTGCTTGGGGCCGGGTTAGATTTTTGTGAGGTGAAGGGAAAATCCTTCTAGACAGGTAGAAATGTTAAGTGAGCTCAGTTATATGTTGTAAGAATTTCCCGGTTATCCCCTTCACCGGTAAAACGCATCCCCGGGGAGGCGCGGTTGGAGAGTTCTCGCGCCGCCTCTTGTGCTGCTTCATTGAGATTGGGAGGGGAATCATTAATTTGCCCAAGGTGAGCTGGGAACCAACTCAGAAGATGATGCGTTATGTTGTTGCCTTGCAGTATTCTCAGCGTTTGTTCAGAGACCGTCCCCTTGGCGAACGCCCGTAGTGCTGCCATGGAATCACTGTAGACGACTTCAATGTTATCAATCTTGAGTGCTAAGGCGATGGCCACCTGTTCCGCAATGATTGGGTCTTTCATCCTGACCGTCGCTGAGTTGACGACATGGCCAGCCCCACCGACCACCACTGCCACAAATGCTTTCCCATTGGCGTAGAAAGCCGCGTCAACAAATACGACCCCTCGTTCCTCGTTTGAGACTTGACGAAGTATAGTCCTGGCCCTCGCTACTCTTCTTCCGACATTGTGTTCTGGATGCATGCTTCTTGGTATAGGAGACACCGTGATATTCTCCCTGATGTTGTCGGGGACATCATTGTAATAGTGCCTGATTGCCATTGGGTGTTGGCCCAGCTCCTGCAGGATCATTCTCCCCGACCTTGTTGTAGATAACCTTGCAAACTGTGCTCTCTCTTGGGCTTCTGCTATTTCTTCGAGCGTGTTGTGAATGCCAAGCTCAAGCAGACGCTCGGTGCTGGTGTGTATGGGTAGGTCCAGGACCTTCTTGATAACTTTCCTGAGGAGCACATTCAGTGTCTCGGACTGTGCTCTTGACCAGTTGTGCATTGCTGCCTCGTACGTGAAGTGGCTTAGAACAAACGCATGCATCAACCTAATGAAGTTGTCTTCCTTGATCCCATTTCGTTTGTTGGCCACTCTGCGTATCAGGTGCACCGCACTGTCTGTTTTCCAAATTAACTTGGCCATAGATTTGCTGTTGGCGCCGCTACACTCTATCAGCATGCCCAGGACTTCAATGGAGTCGACCCTCTTGATGGCATCCCTTGATTTGTACGGAGGTGGATGTCTATCTGGTTTAATGGCTTCCATCCCCTGGGCTTCGTTCCCGGCGTGCTGTCCGATACAGTAAAAGTTCTGACTTACTCGAGGAGCACTTGAGCCCTGAAGGACGAAGGTACTCTTCTACGGTGTCAATTGCCTCTGGCAGGGCGCTCTCAATCTGCCCCTCGCTTCCACCTGTGCACCAGACGGTAATGTCATCTGCGTAGATGCTGTGCTTCAATCCTTCAATGCTCGATAATTTCTTTGACAGTCCAATCATGGCAATATTGAACAGCATTGTTGAAATCACTGCCCCTTGCGGCGTGCCCCTTGCTTCTAGTTCGATTGCTGTGGTCTCAATATCTGCAATCTTCATCACGGCTTTCCGGTATGTAAGAAAGGACCATACGTAGTCATAGAAGGCTTTCCCCAGATATGCTTGGAAATTACTTCGAGTATGAATGAGTGGTGGATGTTGTCA